GGGGTGGCTTTTTTCTTGCAACCCCCCCATACAAGCCACATTTGTGGAGAATGTGAGATATCATCACATGCACACAATGACCACTCTTTACAGTTGCAATTCCTGCAACTGTAACCTCTCTGACCAGTTTCCTCCTGGCTTTTTCATCCAGTTTGGAGCGACGTCCTGATTCAGGGAGGGTCTGTGTTGTACCAAATACCTTGCACTTCTTAATAATGGACTTTATTGTGCTTCTAGGCATTGATAAAGCCTTTGAAATTAGTTTGTATCCATCTCCCGACTTGTACCTGTCCACAACTTTATCCCGAGCTCTTTTCGGGCCTGTTTACACCTGGTCACTTCATGCGTTTTTTTCTGATCGGATAGCTATCCGATCGTGAAAAGAACACAAGTGTAAATGCATCTGGTTGTTGAAACCACATATGTAAATTTTACTCCTCCCAAAATTTTTAAATAATAAACGTGTGAGAGCGTATTATAGGCTATATGACATTACTACTACTAATTACTAATGCAACACGCATCGCTACAGACGAGTATCTGAGTATCTTTTCAGCAAGCCGATGCACAAACCGCCGCAAATGAAACTGAAAGTAAGACGCAGACAGTCAACACACAATCATCTTCATTAAAAGTAGTAAGACAAACTTATCTTTCCAGTGCTGATGCCGCACGCTCTCCTATTGCGGTCTTTGATCTTGAAATGAGCTGATAATTAATAAAATGCACCGCTTATCTTTTGATTTTGTTGACGTGAACTCCGTTAAATTTAAATATAACGCGGGAATTGAAGATCGGATTTAAATCCGTTTTGCGGATGTGTAAATGGAAACGTTTTAACAAATCCGATAGATATCTGATCAGTGAAAATGCATGAAATGACCAGGTGTAAACAGGCCCTTCATGCTGAGCTAATCAAAATGAGCACAGCTGATCACAGTTGAAAGTCAAATGGCTTTGTGTGCCATTGAGAAGGTGATTAGCTACACCTGATTGAGTTTACAAGTCATTTTTTAGGAGGGGGTGATCCTTTTTCCAACTCAGTCATTCTGGTTTTTTATTTATTAATTTTTTTCTGACATGTTGGTGTTATATCTTTCACTTGGATGTTATAAGTTGCACTGAAATGTAAATACAGCGAGATATAACAAAAACCGTGTCCGTCTTTATTTCAGGCTGCAAAGCAACAAAATGTGATTCTTTTAAAGGGGGTGATTCTTTTCTATACCCACTGTATAAGCTCTGATTTTGGAAGGAAATATTAACACGAACAAGTTTTTCCATGCTTCCTGAGATTTATGCTAATGTTTATATTCAGCTATACAAACATATAGTTATAAAATACTTAAACATTTGAAACACTCACAGTTGCAGGTCCAATGATAGTGACACCCTTTTCATCGGCTGTTTTGATGAGTTTGCAGGTCAGAGCTTCAGGAATGCCTTCAGCTATGATAGCTATAGTGTGTATCTGATAAAACAAGAAGACCATGTTTATACCCACAGTTGAAGCTACAGGTACTGAATACCAACGTTTCATACGAACAGTGGTGCCCACTAGCTTGAAATGGGAAAGGAATACATTAGACACCGTATTCTCAGGAACATAGGTTGAGTTGTTTTTTTTTGCATTTGAAACATGCTGCAACTCCAAAGCGACTGATATAATGAAATTGACGTCTCTCACGCAAAGCGCACGCAAATATATTTTTACGCACACACAAAATAACAGTTATAGCATTGCAAATACAAACATAACAGCGTTGGTCTCTGTTTATATGTGCAATGTGGCAATAAATTGATATGATTCTGTACAGGCTTCAGAGATTATCATAGCTGGATGCCATTCTTTAATAAAAAAAAATAAAAATAAAAAAAAAAACTTTAATAGCTTTATTTACCAGCTAACAGAAATGCTGGGCTGTCAATATAGGATTTTACCTGAGGGTACTGCATTGTCTCCATTGTGCTGTCGAAAGCTGAGCGAAGGGAGGCAAAATTTATGAGCACATCAACATCTGGGTGTTTCTTCATAGCATCAGCCATGTTCTTACAGACGGGAAGTAAGATCTCCTTATGACCCCAGTAAAACTTCTGCTTGTGGTCACCACTGACACACACACAAACACACATAATATAAAAATCATAAAAACCGACTCATGCCCTCAATCCCCAATCACATTTTACAATCTTATGTGCCACATAATGAGTAGAATAAACCAACTATTAGACATTGCGCAAGTTACATTAAATTTGATAGTAGACATTCAGCATTAAGGTTCTTTTTAAATGTACTGACGTGAAGGGGTAGATCATTGCGACAACAGAGGGTTCTTCACGTGAACACACGTAATCAAAATCCAGCATGCCCTGAACTGCCCGCGTCTGCATGCCCCACACGATTGCCTTAGTCTGCCTGCTGAATAGAGTTGTGGCTTTAGCTAAAGGGGTAGAGAGACAAACGTTAGACTTAAATTCCACTCAAAGTAATTTGCCTGCTTAATGCCATAAATCAGTGGTTCTCAAACCTGTCCTGGAGTACCCCCTGCCCTGCACATGTTGTATGTCTCCCTCATCTATCACACCTGATTCAACTCATCAGCTCATTAGTGGAGACTGCAAGACCTGAAGTGGGTGTGTCAGATATAGGGAGACATACAAAACATGCAGTGCTGGGTGTACTTCATGGAGAGGTTTGAGAACCCCTGCCATAAATCAAATGTAAATATAAAGACCATTTAGTTCAACCATGCAGAATGAGGAGTTTTTTTTTACATTATTGCTTCATATGCCTTAAAGGGGTCATATGATGCTTTTTTAAAGATCATTATTTTCTGTATTTGGTGTAACAGAATATGTTGACATGCTTTAATGTTCAAAAAACACATTATTTTTCAAATACTGTACAATATTGTAGGTCCTCTATGCCCCGCCTCTCTCAAACGCTTCGTTTTCTACAAAGCCCCCTCCTTTGACAATCGCAGTCTGCTCTGATTGGCCAGCTGACCCAGTGCATTGTGATTGGCCGAACACCGCAAGCACGCGTCGGAAATGTAACGCCCCTTACCATAATCGCGAGCTTCAAGCTTTCAAAGTAAATATCAAGACAGTTAATAATGTCATTAGTTTTACCATCAGTTCAAGCCCGTAAGGGCAACAGAGTCGCGTGACAGACACAGTGATGATGCAGTACACAAGCGGTTAAGACCGCTGACGTGCTATGATTTCTGACAGGCAGTTCACTCTCCTGTGATTTGACCCTGTTCCCCTCACACACACACACACAACGCGTTACTCTGCGCTACGCAAAACTCCGCATTTGAACAGTCAATAGCAAATACTTAACTAATAACAAAACATACTTACAGTCGCTGATTCAGAAGAGCCAGATTGTCATAGCAAAGTCGGAATTGAACCTTTTTTTTTTAGAAATAGCCTTTGTGCACAGCCAGCCTTGTACTCTTCTAGGTTCAAAAAACTGTCGTCCATAAAATGCGTTGCACAAATTCGAACATCTGGGTTGTGCTGTTCTGTTGCAAATAAATCTCAACCAATGATTCCTAATTGCATCTACTTCCGGAAGGCCAAATAAAGTGCTTTTGCTTTCGCACTGAAAACACACAGCGTCTCCCTGACATGCTGCTTCAACACTAACTGCGGTTACTGAAACAGACTTGTGCTGGTATTCGGTAATGCGATATATCACGGTAATGGATATGCACGGTATTGTTATCGTGGGCACTTCTAAATACCGTGAATTATATATGACAAATTATTCAGAATTTTGAATGCATTTTAAGAATACTTTTCCCATCAACTGGTCAAAATGCACAACACCGCTGTATGCTGCATGAAAGACGCTTGCGCACTCTGATGTAAATAAGCGCGGGCGAGAAGCACATGGCGGAACATGTGAGAGACACTCTGGATGAAAGTGCACTTTTACTCTCTGACAGCAGATGGCGCTAAACTGCAGAAATAATAATAATAATAATAATAATAATAATTCATTTAAATGCAGCCTTTACCCTGGAAACCCTGTAAACAAAGCAGCTGCACTACTTTCTATTTCTGAATCATGTTTAAATGATTTAAACAGCCATTCAGATTTGTGTATTTGCAATGATGTTCATCACAGCGCCAAATACTTAAATATTGAGACTTAATAGGCTAATTATTTTAAAACTTTTTTTTTTGTTTACATTTTAATCTGGACTACAACATGCCCTAGATATTGTTTGAAAGTGTTTTGATTCTTTATTGTTCGGTCACACTGTTCTGTTGTAAGTGATCTTAAAGATTCCTAAATGCATCTACTTTCGGAAGGCCAAATAAAGTGCTTTTGCTTTCGCCTAGAAACACACAGCGTCTCCCTGACATGGCTGCTTCAACACTAACTGCGGTTACTGAAACCACACCTTCTTTCTTTGCGTGCACATTTGGGCCGCATTATGCAAATATTTCCACATAGTGAGGTAGATATGTGGGGGCGTGTTAGAACAAGCCGTTTTAGGGGGGCATGGCAGAGTCTTAACTTTGATAAAGAATATCTCTTTGGTTTTGAGACTTTAGTCTTTGCAACTTCAGGGATCTTATCGATGCACAATCAGCTTGTAACACTCCAAAGAGAAAGGAAAACTTGAAATCGCATCATATGACCCCTTTAAGTTTGAGTGTCTAAAAAAAAAAAAGACAAAAACAAAAAACAAATGACATCAATAAGGGTGTGAAAAGACTCATGGAAACAAGACTCAAAGAAACGTGGAAAAGGGATACAGAAAACGAGAATTAGACAGACAAGAAAATGCATATTTTAATCACTTAAAAGTATACAAATTTTAGATTAATTTGGGGTTTGACACTATATATGAGAAATATATACAGTACTATAGTTTTTTTTTAACTTTTGACAATATTAAATATATTTTCAAAATATTTCAGAGGAAGTGGCCCTATTAAGTCCAGCTAGGGTTGTGCCGATAGACGATAGTATCGTGTATCGACGATAGTCAGAGATATCGCCTGTGGCTGATATCGCCTTTTTCTGCATTTTAACAGTGTTGCGCGTTATAACCAATCACACACGATTATGTTATGCTTATGAATGCAATGGCCAATCAGAGGAGTTCAGATGAGTCATCGCTAAAACAGCGGAGTTTCGTTGTTCAGCGCGCGCTGACTGAATTCTGATTCGCGAATTCTTTCATCATAAACAACAAAGTGCAGATGTACATGCGAAGTATAAGAGATTTATTCATCATACAGTGTAGATAGCTTCACTGATTTTAACGGGAGTGTATTTTAAAGTGCATAAACTAGATTGAGCTTGTGATGATGTTCTTTGGTAATGTAAATGTTCTTTGCTCGTTTTCTGTACCTGCTTTTTGAATAACTGAGGAAATATAAGCATTATAATTAGTAACTTACAATATTTCTATTGAATTGTTATGTTAAATACAAATTCAGTCACATTAAAAAGGCTGTTTTTAGCCTTATGCTGGAGTTGGTTCACTTTCCGGCAATGAAACCAAGTAAATAAATAATTAAATAAATTAGCACGATAATATCGTGTAACGGCGATCTCACAGGCTGACGATAGGATGATATGAAAATTGAGCATATCGCCCAACACTAAGTCCAGCCAAATCTAAGTTTTTCATATTTTCTCAAAGATATTAGACCAGCAAGTAAAACATTAACGCAAATTCACTCTTATATTAGGTGGCACTTATAGAAATGCAAATACTGTATGTGCTAGTTATCCCGGTACACAAAACAGCATTATGCAACATTCCATTTCTGTTATTTATGCTTTCAAACAGCCATTCAACCTATTTAATCTATCCTAAACAGATTTTAGTATTGTATGGTGTTTATCAAACAACACCAAAAGAGGAAGAGCTTCTCAATATCCCCAATCTCTCTTTCTCTTATCAATGCTATTCTTTGCCTCCTGGTAATTTACTATGCCTATGTGCCACAAAGTCATAGGCTGCATCTGAATAGGCATACTTCACTATTATAAAGTAGGTGAAAAACATTATGTGAAAAGATAAGTATGTTGGAATTCATAGTATTCATACCACAGCTGGCAGTTCACCTGTTGTACCTACACTTGTTCAGGTTGTAAGGTAAACTGTGAATATGTTTCAGACAATGACAAATAATTAGATTAAGTTAGCATGCAGTTTAATCAGAACAGCAAATGAATGGCCTGCATACAGCTTTTTTCCACAAAAAAAACATCTAAAAGCAGCTTTTTGCTGCTCACATGCGACGCACATAGACGCAAGCTGGGCTGACGTTACGGAGGGACAACAGGCCCAGGCTTAACGAAGTGACTACATTTTTAATATTTTCATTATGAATATCAGCACTCTTGAACAATCAAAATAGAGGACCAGAACTACCTCTTGGATTATTGATTAATAACTGCTGCCATGCCAACATATGACACTCTGCAAAGAAACGCACTAAACACTTGACCAGCCCTGAGCTCTTACCTTTAACCACTGCATTAAACATGGCTATTGCAGACCATGAAACTAATTATGATGATGAACAGAGAAAGAAAGTATGACAGCATGAGGAGAGAAAAGAGACAGAATGAAAGAGAAATTAAAATAAAAAAAAAATGACTAACAGAACAAAAACATTGGGAAAAAAACAAGACAGAATGTAAATGTAGAGAGAAAAGTAAAAAAAAAAAAAAGTAAAGGTGCAGTAAGTAACTTTTCACTGTATAAATTGTTTGTACTTTTATCAAATCTGCCCAAAATCTTATTATTGGTTCACACAGCACTCATGAGCAGCGTGTGATTATTTCTGCATATTTCTTATCACCACGCTCTAATACAATTCATAACTAATGGCAGCTATAGAAAGAAATAATAAATAAACTTCAACACTGAAAAAATGCTATTGAACACTTATTTTTACTTTATAAAATAGATACAAATAATAAATTGTATGCAGCCAAGTAATTTTCAACTAATTAAATATAGCTTCAAAGCTAATTTTCCAAGATGCATCATTTTAGTGTGAAAAAAAATCACTAACCTTTTCGGTTTAAAGATATCCAATTGTACACAAATGCAAAAAAATACAGTTCTAAAACTGCAAAAAATAAAATAAAATAATAATAATAAAAAAATAAATATATATATATATATATATGATTTAAACAGTTTTTAAGCTCAAATAATAATATAAGTGTTTCTAAATGATAAGCTTCATGTTTCCTCCAAAAGCTGGTCCCATTTACTTCAGGTAATCAACATTACACCACAAATGCTATCATCTGAGCTTAACTTGTACTGAATTCGGAATATTCTTTTAATGACAAGTTTTAGTTACTGTTTTAAAAACTAAATCGGCCTTTTAAACTAAAACATCACAGTAATGTTAAAAAAACCCCTTGATCATTTAAAAAAACAAACTGAACATTTAAATGCATATAAAACATTTTATGAACATTAAGTAAATGTTTAAAAATTAAAATATTTTAAAATAAATATAAAAGTCAAATGTCAAGCTACCTGCTTAGGCAAGTGCAAAAATGTAAAAGAATCTAGAAACCTCTAGGGTAAAATTCTACTTGATCTTGACTTAAAAAAAGTTACTGGTTTGTGGTGGTAACTAAACAAAGTTACTTAGCGCACCTTTAACTGAGCTACAGTTAAAGAATCAATTAAAAGTGTGAATGTGTTCTTCAAAAGTTCTCTTAAAAAGTTGCTGTGACTGTGATATTAAACCTCAGCTGAGCTCTAAATACCTCGTGGAACACCTGCTGTGGGTGTCATGCCATCTGTGGTCAGTTTGTGTTCAGAGAATGAAGTATTTCTGGTTTTTGCTGGCGTCTGGAAGACAGAAAGAATGAACAAACTTCTGAAAGGGTTTGTGGGCCACTGAATTGTAGCATTTATTACTATAATACAACATATTTAGTTATATAACAGCTGTGATATGTTCTGCTGTTGGCACTGAATTTAAACTGTATTCTAAATCCAATATGGTATATGACAAAAATCGTAGTATAAAGATGCACTCAGACATACATGTATGAGATGAACATTAATGTATGAATCAGAATTGTATGAATTCAGAATGGCAAGAATTGTATGTGTCCATGTAATGTTTATGAGAAATGTTGCTATAAACTTCTCCATCTTGCCAACACTTGACTACAGTATCTCACAAAAGACGAATCACATGTACTCCAATGTCTTCATTCTCTTTGGTGGTCACTGCATCATGTGCTACTCATTTGTAAGTTCACACATGGTCGCTTTTGCTCATGTTGCCACAAATGGCCAAATCTAATAAAAAATTAATTGCATCGGAACTAGAAAAAAAAAAAACACAATGTATGTGTTTACATGTCAGCCACTGGGATAAACTATAAAAATACACTTACAGCTGCACTAGCACTGGTGTTCAACAGGAAATTTGCAGTGTGTGCTGCCACTGGAGGCTGATTGGGGATTGGTCGATGACCCAGTGCCATGCCAACAATAGCAGTCATGTGAGTTTCTGTGCCAAAGACATGAATGGGAATTCCAGTAGTCTTTCCTGTTGCAACGAAAAGGGAACCAGAACAACAAAAGGATGCAGAAATATGAGATTACTTGTGTGTGAATGGACATCTCTAAACATCATACACTAGTGAACACAGGGACATTCTGTCATGTTCAGATTTGACCAGTGAATACATACAGTGTAGTGAAATTATTACACATCACAGATTGACCTAATGGCTAACAATCAAACTTGGAAGTAAAATTAATAATTAATACATCTTTACTTTTTCTGATCTGTTTGAGGCCTACACAGAAGAACAGACATGTAAGACGGGCAACTGTGTCTGCAGTTAGTGGTATGAAGCGCCCTATCATTATCAATTATCTGTCCCAAATCCATATGAATGGTTCAAATAGATGGAAATTAACATTTACTAAAGATTTACTAAACAGGGCAAATTAGTGCAAGACAGCAATCCCATAAAAGTGCAGATGAGAGTGGAAAGTTCTGTGGTTCATCTACTGATGCCTGTTTCACACATACTCCATCTGCAGTGTGTATGCGGTGCATATTTTTTCCGCATCCATGTTAACGGATTAGAGCGTTCACACTGCACGCGGTTGAGGTCCAGCAGTGCGTTCCAGGAGCGGTGCATGTCTATTTGCTTGTCTATTGACCGGGTCTAATTTTGCTGTGCTGCACAAGCTGAATTAAAGTGACAGCGCATTATTCGCGGTAAAAATAAACATGGATTGTCATGGAAATGTAGTAATTTCACACTTAATTGATATAATTAAAGTCTACTGTGTTTTACAGTCAACACGTGGCTTTTTGGCTAGATTTAAAACAAGGGAAAAGTGCACTTTTAGATAAACAAGGCAACACAATATATGCACTTGTGGAGGTAGAAAAACTAAGTTCTTTAAGAACTTGTAATAAAGCTTGTAATAAAGATTGTAATAAAGATTTAAATGCAAAAGAAAAGGCAGGAGAGCCGACTGTTTCTGTCAGTGGTGAGTTTTAATTTAAAATGTTTGTGATAGCCTACTGTGGCGAGTGGGGGCGGGGCCGAGAGCCGTGGGAACGGAGCGAGGCCGGTGGAGTAATTGATAATGAGCGACACCTGCACCACTCACCGGTCTCGAGTCCCATGGAGGAGCTCCGGAAGGATAAAAGGAGGAGTTACAACAGTGAAAGACGAGAGAGGACCAGGCCTGGACTTTATTTTGTGTTTTGTGTGCAGCAGTCGTCCGCGAGGGGCTGCCGCTTTACTTTCATTTTGTGTTTGTTTATTTTATTAAAATCTTAAATGTTCTCCGGTTTCCGCCTCCTCCTTCCCGACCTACGAACGTTGTTACATTGGTGCCGAAACCCGGGAGGAAGGAGGGACACGCTGTCAGAGAGCCCTCGCTGCTGAGGAGGATCGCGGTGCTGAGGAGATCGGGCAGCAGGAACAAGCGGAGAGACCGCCGGTGGCTGCCCGAGGCGGTGGTGCTGGAACTATGGAAGACGAGGTGGGACGGAGTGCTCGCTGCCGCGCTTCTGGGTCGAGGAGGGGTGGCTGCCGTCCGAGAGGGAGCGGAGGAGTCGGCCCCGTTCTCCAGGAGGCCGGAGCCTGCTGCCATCCGCCATGATTGGGGAGGAGCAGGGAACGGGAGAGGAGCTGCCGGCTGCCCTCAATAGGAGGAGCCATCGCCGTCCGCCAGGAGGCGGAGGAGCAGTGGGCCGTCCACCAACGATGTCCAGTACCATCGCATGGCACCACGAGTGAGAGCCTCTAAGCCGGTTGAGGACTAAGCGGCAGTGTGTCCGGGAATTGGACCGATCATTTTTTTTTTCTTTTCCTCTCTCCCCTCTCTCGTATCTGTCTCTCCTCATCCTTCCGTCTCCTTTTCTCTCGCCTCGTCTGTCTGTCCTTACCCCCAGGTACGCGGCCCCGAGACTCTACTCCCCCCCTCCCCCCTCCGGGGGAGCCGATCACACCGGCCGCGGCGTACCTGGGGGTAAGGACAGTGATTGATAGTGGAGTAATTGATAATGAGTGACACCTGCACCACTCACCGGTCTCGAGTCCCACGGAGGAGCTCCGGAAGGATAAAAGGAGGAGTTACGACAGTGAAAGAGGAGAGAGGACCAGGCCTGGACTTTATTTTGTGTTTTGTGTGCGGCAGTCGTCTGCGAGGGGCTGCCGCTTTACTTTCATTTTGTGTTTGTTTATTTTATTAAAATCTTACATGTTCGCCGGTTCCCGCCTCCTTCCCGACCTACGAACGTTGTTACACCTACTTTTAACAAGAAAAGTAGGCTATATGCTGTGTTTAAATGTGTTGCCACTTGCTTGAGCAACTTAATATGCAAACCTACAAGTCAAATGCATGAATAATATGCTGTTTGTATTTATTGAGTTTAAACGAATGTCTATGAAAGATATACTATACTCAGGGGTTAAAGCAAAAAAAAATCCTGAGCCTGAACTGTGCAATGTGCATGCAATGACTGTGGCAACTTTAACATTTGAAAGGACACTATGGCAAAGTTATTGCTTTCTTTATTCAAACTGATTTTTTTTTCATGAATATATGGTTGACCTGAAGAATGAAAGCTATATCATACACTTGGAAAATTAATTTGAAGAAATTACATGATTGTATTGAACAACACTGTTAAAATACATAATGTAATATGCCTATACATAATATGAACATAACCAACTTAAGTACACTATGTATTAAAAAGACCCGACGTACTGTGGTTTTGTCCGATGTACTGTGACAAACATTGTTATATATTTTTTTTTTAACAGTTGCAGAAGTTGAAGCAGTTATAATTCTGTTAAGATTCTAAAGTAATTGAATCAGCCCGACGTAGTGTGGTAGCAGAGTTGTATTAGACCTTTTGTTTCTAAAGTAACTGAAACAGAGTTGTACGTTTCTAAAGTAACTGAAACAGAGTGAGTTGTGATAATTCTGATAAAATTCTAAAGTAACTGAATTGACCCGATGCAGTGTGGTCACAGAATTATTTAATAAGTATGGTGTTTTTGTGTTGATTTGCCCGACTACTGTGGCTAAGTAAACTGTTTTAAAAATATAACATAAAACCCGAAGTATTGTGGTTTTGTCCGACGTACTGTGACAGTGTTACATTTTTTAACAGTTTAGTATAGAAAGGTTTAGAAGCCCGACGTAGTGTGGCTGTTTAATTCATTTGCAGGCAAAGCACAGGAGCTGTGAATAATTAGACTAACAGGTATCTTAAAGTAACTAGATAATGTTCAGTCAGTGAAGGAAAAGAAGCCTATTGAATTGCTGAACACAATTCAATAAGATTGTGAAAATGGAAGAGTTGATAGTTAAATACATCACTAAGCACAGCTGACAAGACGAATAAAAATTGCTAATAGGCTATTTTTGTACAACCTACTTTTTTTTCTTTTTTTCTCTCTGCGAGACTTTTTTTTCCTATTGTGTTGTCAATGTTAAACGAATTGTATCCTGACAAGACGAATAAAAATAAGAAATACAATTTT